CACTCCGCGTACCTCGGATCATTAAGTTTTCAATCGTGGAAGTCGGTGACGCGAAGATATACCGGGTATTATCGTCACGAAATGAAATACCTAGATGAAGTACCTAGATCACGTTTCCCAATCTTCTTTCAACATATTGAGATACATTCTAATACACAAACCACTGGAACATCCGTAAACGTGTATAATTGTCGTCGTTAATTGAATGAGAATAATTAAAGTTTGTTTCAAGAATTAACCAAAGCGACAATTACGTTTACTTTCCAATCGAAATTCTGTGAAGCGTCTGAAGGCAGATGATGAAGTGTCGCTACTCTGAAGAAGCGGAAGAGAACTAAAAGACTCCATATTTCTTCATCTCTGAAACTAATAATTCGCAGCGGGAAAAGAAATCGATAGCAGCAGTCATTTAATATGTAATTATCACACCGGTGGAGAGACGCAATCATTACAGCGACGCGATCCCATCCGAATCTAAATCACGAACTTAACGAACTTCACGATACTCATACGCACGGTTTGAAATTGTAATCTGTCTACTATATCATGTGATTTTTAAAACGTTTAATCCTGTCGCTCGGGAATTAAATAAGAACACAAGTGAGAATTTATTGATATTAATTTCCGCGCGCGCGCGTTAACGTTTTCCTTATTACGCTTTAAACGCCTAAACTGTAGAAGAAATTAACGGGAAAATATATACCGCCATATAATATCTAATCGCATTAACGTAGATTGCTGCTGACACATCTCGTTAGGCGGCTTTTTTCGCGGCTGGCAAATGACAGCGGGATGTAGAAACGCCAGGCGTTTCTGCTCCGCTCGTCGACCGTAATGCTTTGTTTGCGACTAACGTGTCGGGAAACGATATCCGCCGATATGCAGCGTGTTCGCGGGATCGAGCAAAAACTCACGGCAGCGAACGGGTATCATTCCGGCCGGCATTTCTGGCGAACGGCGAACGGTGCGAAATCTCTCGAGGTTCTCATCGAACCGCGGAAACGTCTACGGTGAAGAAAGGACCCGATCTGAAACTGACGCGCCGCGCGGAATCTCTATACGGCGTGGAAAAGCCGCGTGCTTCCTGCCGGCGATGATCGGCAAGAAGAGGCGAGTAAACGAGCCGGAGTGCCTGGTAAATCCTATCGCGGGCAATCCCACACGATGATGATATATCCCCTCGTTTCCTGCGGACGGTCGCTGAAAACCGTACCTTGGGTGAAACGATGTAATCGTCTTCCGCTCCTCGAGTCAGGTGCAAATTTATCGGCACTTTCTAGCGAGCGCCGGCATCGCAGGTGCAGGCTCTTCCAGGAGGATCCCTTGATCTTTGGGATTAACCCAATCAATTCCTAGTAGCAAGAGCGTAACGCGGGGAGGTTAAAGGCATAATGGAAGCTAAAGAGAATTGTACGACTGTCTATCCGTCTTGCGTGTGCGCAAGATAGATTTATGTGCGAGAGCGCTTCGTGTGAGGGCAAATCTTAAGGACCTCACGTGTCCAGTGGTTCTTTCTCTCATGTAGAGAAAATGCGAGATCTTGTGTGCGTGAATGCCTTGCGAGATCTTGTGTGCTAGGTCCTTATCGTATGTGTATTATCATCATATGTACGCAAAGATCTTCGTAATGGACGATTGTGGAAGATTGAATGTGTGCAACCTTCGCTAAATCATATTACTAAATTAGAAGACTTGTGGCTTACACGTTGGATGGATACATTTCTGTCTTAGAGTCATCATTGCGTGGCGCACCTTTATTAAAATTGCTTATTGCTATTCTGTTGTATCTTTAGAAATTTTTCTAACAAAAAAAGGCTGTTTCACTTCATCGAAACTAACTTTCTTTCTTTTCTTTTTTCTCCTTTTACATAAAATCTAAAATAAAAAAGATATGTAGAATATCTTATTAAATGTTTTATTAGTTACGGATTGCTTTCGTCGTTGGAATAATCCCGTACGACACGCGATACAACTATTACAAGTGCGAGCTAGGTTTTCTCGAGTTCTATGGAACGCAATTGAAAATCCTACGACGAATCTTAAAAACGGATTAATCACTTTCCGGCTCCTCGGGTGCGAGTTTACTGCGCTTTCTAGATCGTGCCGACACCATCGAAGCGGAAAACAAACAGCACGTCAGTTTCGTGACTGAAAGTGTTATCTCGAGCAACTCCGATTAATTGTCTATGTAGCTGCAATATATATCGATATAATACATCATTTTTTTTATGCAAGCTGTTTCATCGATTGCATTTGTCTCAAGATTCACTTATTATGAAGGTAAAAGAGTCACGATGGCGCGGAAATCGATGCAAATGCATATAAATCAGATTTCGATCTTAAATTTACACTGGAAAACAAAAAATGAGCAAATCAGAATCTTCTGATTGAATCTATTGTACCTAATTGTAATTGAGATATAATTGATATAATCAGAATTTTCTAGATCGTTCATTTTAACCAAAAATTATTCTCAGTGTATAATTGCATTTTTAATCATACAAAAAGGATATAAGCGGTAATGAAAATAAGATCAAGATGACATCTATAAATAAAATTCATTTTAGGAGAAATCATAATGAAGTCATTCGATACGAACGATTTCGCGATGAATTCTTGATATAAAATAATTTCAACTTGATATCATATTGATCTTATTACGGTTGAATATTCTACCTGGATTATTAGTTATTATCGCAAACTCCGCCCGACTACGGCAATCTCAACGGCGAATGAGTCGTCACGTAGAGTTCGCTCGCCATGAAGCGATTTAATCGTCGCTTCCGGTAGGATATTGGGTGCAAATTTATTGGCGCTTTCTAAGCGTGGCATGGAGGTAGGACGCGTAAATCCGACCTTGATTAACCCGATCAGTGATTCGTAACATTGTAATGAGAGTCCAGGGATGACGTGAGCTACAGAGTAGCTCAAGGTGCTCCGCGGTGCATCTCGCATCTGTTGGATGCGTTTTTTCAAAAACGACCCGCACTTTCTAAGACGCACGGATGCAAACGC